GTTTTTTTTTCATTTCGAACTTTTCAAACTTAAACTTATGATTTCGAGTTCAGGAATACTCGTGTTCGACTAGACTCGTTTACAGCCCTATGATGTTGAAACCATGTGCAGTGCAGTAGAGAAAGAGTGGCCCAGATTAATTAAAGGTCCATTTGACAACGAGTTGGGTTTGCCAATAACACTGTTAATTCAGCCTCCTCCTATCCGATCCTACGGCTGTGGCTTAGCCTTAGCTAACCAAAATTGTCCGCTGCTATTCTCAGCAGACTTGTATAGCCAAGTGCAACGGCTAAGATCTACATATCAAACTGTATTTTGATCAAGTTTTAGTAACCAATGTGATGTTAAATGTTTGGGTTTAGCTTTGTTAATCCTCTTTGCCGATTTTTCTCCATGAAAATGATGTAACAACTTTTGACAATGGTGGAAGAAACATGATTATAGAGGGGAAAAAACCAGAATCCATGAATATTCAACCAGAACCTAAGACAAATGACAGAAGAAAAAAAGATGAAAAGGGGTCATTATCATGCTAATTGAATCCAGCTCTATATACCAACGTGTAGCATCATCACTGATAACAAAAACGAAAGCTCAGAATAGGTGCTTTAAATGGCAAGCAGAGTAATGATGTTGTAAAGCACTAAAATAGTTCAGTTTTAACAACCCTAATCTACACTTTTGCAAGCACCCTTAGCTATAAGTGCGGGCTGGGGACTACTTACCATGAAAGAAGCAATAATCTGTCAGTATTAGCACAGGTTGTTAGGCATATAAGAAATCATATGTCAAGTAGGGATTTTCATCATCTTTCAGTCTTGACTATTTGTCTTCATTTCTGGTTGGGATTGGATACAATTGCAGGAATTTGTGTCATTTTGCCAAAACTGAAGGAACGTGACAAGGGGGTTATTAATGAACATGGATAACATTGGGTTAGTCAATGATCCTCAGCATGGACCAAACGGCAAAGAAGGGTCATGGCCGTGAGAAAGGAATGGCAAGCATCAAATAAGGACCAACCATGAAGTGTCATGTTGGTTGTGTTTAGCAATGTGCAGTTGTCTAAGATAATACCAACAGACCACATGAGAGAATGGTCCCCAAGAATAGACCAGGGTAAGAAATTTCAATGGCTAGGGGAGCCATTTTCTTCTCTCTTTTTAGAAAGTGTGGAGGTGTGAACCTCATCCCCACTCCACTGGGATACAAGTTGGGTTTATGCATCGACGATTGACAACTACAGTGCTGATGTTAACCCTTCATTGCAAGTTTTTGCAGCAAATGACATGGAGTGGCCTTCTGCTTTGTAAAGCTTTTGGTATGGTGAGTCCAAGATGAAATCCAGACTTGGACTACCATATGCGACAAATGTTGGGTTGGGGTCTAGGGACTTAAAATCCTATGAATGCTCCATTTGATCCAAAACATTATCTTTTCTTCTTCTTACTTTGGTTTTTCCCAAAATTGACAAAGCTCAAACAAAATCTCCATTTGATGTTGATTCAATTTGTAACGTTCACCGTTTGATCTGCATGAAACTGAGATATAATATTGTTCTTCTATACCTTCTCACCTTTCGGATTCGAAGTCCAAAAATTTAAACTTGAGACTTAAAAGTTTCAAGAGTTTCAGCATAAATTTACTAAAATTTCCGGAGCTTTTTGCATAATTTTTTAAACGATGTTAAAAAATAACGATCAGATGACTTGAATGAACAAGGTTTAAATATTCAATGATGAAATTGAATTTTTTTATAATTAAGTGACCAAAACAGAAATAACATTAAAAATCGAGCGATACAAACGAAATTGATAGATTTCAACCTTAGTTTCCACAAAATAATATATACACAACACCTAGTTTCCAGTCCCATTTTTACTCAATCAAAGGTCATTCAGAAACAATCCAATCTTAATAGATAAGTTTCAACTCTTCATGCTTGGACCTGCAATTGTCTTTGAGCACATGACCGCACCTTGATCGATCGACTTCCCACCAAAAAGTTACAAAGACGGACCATTTTTACTCAGCTTACCGGGGAATTCTCTACTTGAGTTAACCTTCATGAAGAGATTTTTCTTCATGTGACTTTGGTTAAGCAATAACATAGCACTATTACGTGGGGGAGGCTGCACAACCCCTTGAACACAATCTCCCACCTGTGCACAACTCCAAGACCCTGATGGCCCATCCTCAGAAAATGGTCTAAGCCTTGAGATACTATTCCTAAACCTAGAGAAGACTCGGTTCTCTGGAGAATTTTGCTCTTCAAGTTTGGAACATACAGGACAAGGAGGGTCACTTATACGGGTTTTTTGTGTTGTCTGCTCCAAACATTCTGCATGGAAAGTGTGTCCACATGAAAGAACCCCTGCAACAGGCATGTCACTACTTCTTACAATCCTACGAGCACTCCAAGGAGATCTCTGTGAGAGATATGTCTCGCACAAACTACATTTAAAACCACTAGATGGGATGCATGATCGACTAAACATCACAGATTCAAATGGCTCAGAAATATCTGCAATAACATTGCTGCTGCTAGCACTGCTCCAGCGATGGGCATCTCTTTGTGGCGTGGTTGTATCATCTGAAAGCCCCGCAACTGCAGAGTCCGAGGCTTCTGTGATAGGAGTCTCCATGGGAAAGGACAAGGGGTGAATAGGTTTGGACATGAAGCAATACCGACTTGAAACGTTTCGTTGAGATGACAAGCTCTGCTTGATCATCGGCTCAGACTCATTACTGTCTGAATAAGATGAAGTGGAGACACCACTGTCTGCATTTGTTGAAGTCTCCTGCAAAATTCCATCAACTTAAGGAATGCAAATTCTAGGGAGACATTCTCAGCTTAACACGGGTGTGAATATGAGAATAAGGTACCTCAACGATATCAGTGAAGGGTAACTGCCCACCAACATGATCTAACAAGGAAAAAACAACAATAAGTTGATTTAAGTCAAAGCTGATGGAAACGATTCAAACTTATTTCATGCTTGTCTCCAAAATTCAATTTTCAAATTCCAAGCACATTAAAAGAGTATTTCGGACCACTGCATTCCACCCTACAATATAGTAGCTGGCTAGTCTGTTGAACATCACATTTATTCAACTCAAAGGCAATGAGAAAGCAATAGATAGAGTTACAATCTATAACAATAAAAGAAGCCAAAGGTTTATTTCTCTTTCACATTGAACAATCAAAGTGAACCTCAATACAGTTTAACAATCAAAGTGTCACTCTTAACTAGCTTACCTCTTCTCACTGCAGTTTCATAATCATCAAGCGTGATTTCTTGTATTACTGGAGGTGTCCACTGTGGACCCTGTGAAAGGTCCGATGGTCTACTTAAAAAGGGCCCAACACCATCAGATGCAGAACATTGATAATTGTAAAGAAGGTTTCTCCTCACCCAGCCCCTACTTTCTTTGCTGTTTGGAGATGTAGAAGATTCATACAATTGCCTCCCATCATACGAACCATACGACAGTCCATCGGGTTGAAAATGGAAATCCCATCTTGAAGGGGGTGGTGAGAAACTAGTATTAGTTCGCCAATACGGCTCTTGAGGGCCCATGGACCAGTCTCTACTGGGCGTATTTGACCCATGTGGCCTTGCAGCCACACAACACAGCGACCCCGTCTTAGCTATCTTTTGTAAACCTCACGAGTTTAAACTCTACAAGCTTTCAACTTTTACAAAGCTTCCCAAAAAATAACTCAAAGAATCACATCTTTGAGATATGTTACGTTCTCGGTGACCATTTTGAAGTTAAAACCCAAAATTCAGTAAGTATAAGAATTAATTCATTAAGGAACACACTAACTTCATCAGTGAAATATGCTAAATATACATATCACTAGAGCATGTCAAATCCCCTCCGCAGTTCCTTTTGTGAGTCATTCACTACCATCAAAACAGAAACCTGGCAGGAAAAAAAGTAAAATAAGTACAATAAGACGTAAAAATCATGGCGCTAAACAGCCGTAAATTTAGCAATGAAATAAAATAAATGAGAAGGAACAGAGTGTCCCTCCAAGTTAATGATCAAATAGACTTTCATCATATAATTTCCTAAACATCCACTATCCGACCTCCATACAGTTGCTCCCAAAATAGAAATGGCAGCAATAAATTTTAATAATTTCAGACGAACTAAGCAGAATTATCTTGTAAAATAACTATAAAATTCTATATTTCCATGTGACATATTCATGAAGCTAGGAATCAAACAGCCTAAAAATGCAAAAAATTCATAATTTCTGCACTTCGGAGAAAAATGAAAAAGAAAACTTAATGGAAACCAAGTAACTAGTAACTACATAGTAGCAAAGAAACCAAAAACAAGAAATATGAACAAAATTACTTTGAAGAACAGTTCAGAGAGGCTTAAAGGATGCTGCGATTATGCAAGTAATTAGAACCAAAAATTTAAATTATCATTAATGAGAAAACATTAAAAAAAACACAGAGAACAAAAGAATAAAGAGAGAGTGGGAGCTTACGATTTCAAGGAGACGAAATGCAATCGGGAAGAAATGCGAGGGGAATTTTGGAGAGTGAAAACAAACCCTACTTTATTTTTTGTGGGGGGGGGGATCAATTTGAGGTGAACATTTTCTATTTTCACATTAGGACCTCCTTTCTTTACGTAATTCTAAAACTATCCCAATTTTTTTTGTTTTGTTCTCTTTTTCTTTTCATTTTCTACTTTTTAAGAGTATTATTAAAGAGCACTGCTCGTAAATTGTGCAGGATATAGAGTACTTATCATAGCTGCGATGACCTGATTGAAGAGCTTGACAATGTTGAGGACTTGATTACAGAGTTGATGAAACTTGGAGGACCAAATGGTGAATCGTGGAGCGATATTATAATATATATAGAGTGATCGATTAAGTAAATATGATTGATTAATTAAGAGCAGCTTATTTAAAAATTGGAATAAACTCATACCTACCTGATAGATTAGGTAATCATATTCTTTGCACCGGATTGCAAGCAATTATTAGTTTAATGGCAACAGTAAGACTCATTTACAAAATGCCCCCTCCAAGACGAGCATTGGTCACTAGAGAATACAACATGACTGGTAAAAGTCGAGGCTTTAATTGCAAGCAACTCCATAAACATGCGGACTTATTAAAGAGAAGGTATCATTATCCAGGAAGCCATGTTTAGTTCCAGACTCGAAAACCCAGCTGAAGTTATGTATTTCCCCGTTTCTCTGGTAAGGTGACACCCATCTGAAACTGTTTGTTGCAAAGGATCAAGCGCAGTCTGCCAGAACTTGAGGCTTGTTCCATCTGCAATACCATCTCAAAACATGAATCTATCGTTTTTTTTTCCTTTTGGCTACATGTCGATGCAATTCATATTCGAATGTCGTTATGTCGAGCGGTTCCGATTATTACCTTTAGCAGCGACGTGTTCGATAAACAGGAAAAGCCCTCCTGGTTTCAGCACCCTCTTCACCTCTGATCAAAGTTAACAATTCACTAAAGTAGTTCATGCATGAGCTAATCACTAGTTTTTGATGCATCAAACATTCAAACTACCTTTAAGTGCCATGTTAACATCTTTGACAGAACATAATACGAGTGTTCCTACAACTGCATCGATGGAGGAATCATCTAGTGGAACAGCCTCCGCAACCTGTACAAAATGCAGCATTTTGTTTCTTAGTCTCCGATTACATAGAAAAAGGCATCGATTTTCCCATCACTTATGCCATCGATGCAACTTACGGCTTCTATAAAATGGAAATTCTTCAGCGGAATACCGACCGCGGTTGCCGATGCTCGAGCATACTTCTCCATTTTCTTGTTAGGATCCAATCCAAAAACTTGGACCTCATCATTACCAGCATAGTACTCGAGATTAGGGCCTGTTCCAATACCAATCTCCATTACCCTTTTGGCCTTCCCCTTTATTTTCCCGAAGAGCTGCAACTTATAACCTGCAATCTTGAGATTCAACAAGTCTTAGTAATTCAATCACACACACGCATATATATACGTATGTATGTATGCGTGTATATGAGAAGAAAAGCATAAACTAACTAACCTTTGCCTCATAAGATTTCATGCTTGTGTTCATAACAGAGGCATAGAACTCCTCATACCAATCAGGTCTTGGAGGGTGAATCTTGTTGAGCAAAGCCTAAATAAAGAAAAATATTCCAAGAAATCATATAACCAGTTATATACATGTCTGTATATGTTTTGAGAGAGATGAAGAAAGGGTACTACCAAGTAATCATCAGAGTGTAAAGCGGAGGCATTGGATTTGGGAGGGGAAATTTGAAGAAAAGCGGTAGTGGCTGCTTCAATGAAATGTCTTCTTCCACAACAGGAACAGAATCTGACGGCAGACGGTGGCTGTTTGCTGGGAATTGCAGCGGCTGAGCTGCTCTTTTGGGTGGTTTGTACTGTGGCAACAGGTTGAACCAGTTTCAACATCTTCGGTTTTTTAGCGTCAGCTGAGAGTTGAGGAATGGCTGCCAAAAGCACTGGCTTTGTTCTGTAACTCATGGCCATCATCAACCTCACAAATTTTCAAGATATTTTTTATAATATATAATTATCTTTATATTCATATATAATATATTCAATTATTTTAATTTATTTTTAATTTTCTTTATATAAAAATATTATTTAGTTAAATTAAAAATAAATCATCTGATTAACTTTATTATTAAATGTGTTTGTACGAATTGATTTAGCAATCGAATTAACCAATTTTTTTTTTATTTTAATAGATATAGTTTGAGCATATATTTAAATTTGATAGATTTTAATTTAGTTTATCTATATAAGTTACTTATCAATTTTTTTTAAAAAATTGAAACATATTAAATCGATTTATAAATAATAAATTAAGTTTAAGATAAAAATTTACGATGTGATGATTAATTTAATATTATTAGAATAAATTATATCATTGATCACTTAACCTTTTATCCATTTTACTTTTGCGATCGATCTTTCAATTTTGTTAATCAGATCACTAACTATTTAATTGTAATTATCAAACCACTAACCATTATCATCTAACGGAAATGTTGACGTGTCCATTAAATATTTTGGTACAATTATACAGTTAGTCTTTCATGTTTATATATCATTTCAATTTAGTCATATTTTTTTATAAATTAAAATAAATTTACTCATCAAATCAAATGGTGTCACGTGACATCATTTAATTGGATGATTGAATTTATTTTATGGGTAAATTATATCGTTACTCACTGAATTTTACTCTATCTCCTATTTTACTCACCATACTTTTTAATTTTTCTATTTTGCTCACGGAACTTTACAAATTTAATTATTTTACTCAATTTGCCGTTAACTTTTTAACAATTTATGGCATGACACAGACATCAAAACGACGTCGTTTTGAAAAAATCAAATATGCGCCAAAACGACGTCGTTTCGAATCCTCTTTTTTCCCTCATTTTTTTACTTTGCAAATAAGGTGATCGATTGTCGCCGTCGGCCACCATGATATTTTTCATTCCGGCCACCGTCTACCGTTATTGATGATGGCCATTATGTCTCAAAATTCATGGGTCGGTTCGTCTCGACCCCATGAGTCCAAATCTGGTGGTAGTTTCACTGGAAAATGTCCCAAAATTCATGAATATCGATTCAATTATTTCGGCTTCCTCACTTTTAATCTCCAATTCATGGACTTTAGAGCAAGTTCCAATAAAATGGAGGTCAAATTCGAACTTAAAGAGTCAAGGTGAAGCAACTCCTGAAATTTAGGACCGAACAACCACAATCTACAGTAGTTAACGGGTGGGCGATAGTGGCATCTTGCCACTTTTTATTTTTACTTTATAATTGGGCGAGCAAAATAGGAGCAAAATTATAGTTCAGTAAGGAATGATGTAATTTACCCTTTATATTCTTATTATTTTATATTAAATAATAATAATAATAAATGACAAGTCATCACACCATTAGAGAGTTTATGGTAGAGTGAACAAAATGATTCAATATGTAAAGTTCAATAAGTAAAATAGAAAAACTAAAAGTACAATGAATAAAATAAGAGAGATTAAAGTTAACGATGTAATTTACCCTTATTTAATTTAATATATGAAGATGTGTCACCCTTATATATATGTTCAAGAGAAAATAACTTCAGTAACCGAAAATGCCTTATAATATACGATTTTAACTAACTTTTTTTGGATTTGCGAAAATGACCAACAAATTCGCAACGCGATCTCAAATTCGCAACACGAACTCTAATTTCGCAACTCAGTTTCCAATTTCGCAACGCGAATTTGTAATTCGCAACACAGAAGTCAAATTCGCAAAGCACGTTTATTTTCGCAACGCGAATTTTATTTTCGAATTCGAAACACAATATTAATTTCGCAACACAAATTTAAACAGTATAATCGCAAATCATAACCTAAAACCCTAAACCACAACTCAGTCTCATCTCCATCTCTCACTCTCTACGGTGACATCCGTCCCCATCTCCGGCGAAATCCGTCTATCTCCATCTCTCAGAGCCACCCTCACAACCATTCACGGTCATAAATGGAAAATCAACAACCGAGTGTTAGTTTTTTTAATTATTTTTATTTTGAAATTTTTGTATTATTATTATATATTTTTCATATTTAAATTGATAATAAATTTACTAGTAATTTCAATAATAGATTAACCATTTCACTTAGATTGCTTAGTAAATTCATTCAGTTGCTGCCAATACTGCTAAACTGTTTAGTCTTTAACCCTATGAAGTTAGTATTTGTCTTTGTTTTGTCTTTTGGTTGAAGTAATGCAATTCATTCAAGTTTCAATTTGCATAAGACTATTTGAAACTTAAATTCGCAACATGAAAATGAAAATCGCAACGCGATTTAAGTTTCGCGTTGCTATTTTAAGTTTCAGAAACTATTCTTCTTCTGCAAATTGAAACTTGAATGAATTGCATTACTTCAATCAAAAAACAAAGACAAATACTAACTTCACAGTGTTGCGAATTTAAGTTTCAAGAATAAACTACTACTCTTTATGTCGTCCTTGAACCTGCACTAAATCTATATGTTGTCCTTTTAAATGTTTATATAAGTTCTTACTTCTGGAATGTTATCTGATGCATTTTGTGAACTATGATAGAATAATGACTTGGGTGAATACCGTGGAAGTTTGAAACATATTTGGCTTTGTTTTCACTATTTAATATCATGTTTGTTTATTGTCTATAATTTGTAGTTTTTGGTATATATAACTTGGTATGTTTATTGTTTTTGTAGAAAATTTTTTTGGCTTCATTGACCTTAAGGAATAAATTGAAATTTTTTTTGGCTTCATTGACCTTAAGGAATAAATTAAGCCTAGCCATTACAATTTCGTCGACGCTTACACCTGTACAAAGAAAATTGTTTGAGGATACTAGCTTCGGGCCATGGCTGAAAGTACAACATCCAAGTGGAGATGTTATGTTGACCCATTTGTTTCTTCAGACCATGACTAACGATCTACCCGAGAGGATACAACGTGGTGATAAAGAGATATGATTTCATTTTCCTCTGGCATATACTTGTTTTGGGCAGGAGGAGTTTTGCTTAATCACTGGTCTACACTTCGGACATGATGATGTAGGTCCATACACTAGTCATATCGCCCGCCCATCATGTTTATCTCAGGTTTTTCCTGACCTGGAAAAGCCGAAGCCGAGTTTACACGTCGACGACTTGAAAAGATTATTTGTTAAAGATGGTTTTACTCGGATGGATGACCTCGATGTTGTCAAAGTATATCATTTATAACTTTTGCATATCGACATTTTAGGCAAAGAGACCAGACAACCTATTTTTTAGGATCTAATATTATTGGTAGAGGACCTAAATGCATGGAACATGTTTCCGTGGGGTTCATATATATGGAAAGCTACCTGGAAAAAGTTGTTGTATGCCTTTGAGAACAGAAAAAGTTTGCGTGGCCATGGTTCCAAATACACTTTGGCAGGTTTTATTTGGGCCTTTAAGGTAAGAATTTCTATATAATGTTTCCAAAATTATAATTAATTATTTAACAATTACTAATGCTTGTGTATTATATTGTTTCTAGATTTGGATATTTAAGGCTTTTCTTAGGATGCTGACATATGCAATTAAAAATTCAAATGATATTCTTAGGGCTATTTCCTAGAGGAGGATCCAACTATTGGATTGGGAAGAGTTACTATCATATACGACGATGAATGATGTAAGTTAACACAAATACTACCATTTGTAAACAAGTTATTACTAGTAGACGTTTAACTTTGTTTGAGCTTTTATATTGTTAGGAGGCCAACTATCTATTACAGAAGCTGACACCCACAGAGGCTGAGCTTGGCACTGTTTGGTGGCAAGATAGTAAGCATTTTTTTGATGGCACGGATGATGAGCAGCCCCCACTTCGAGAGCCATCACCTGATCGAGTCTATTATACACATCCACAACGAGAGCCATCACCTATTCTGTCACATCATCGAGCCTATTCTCTACCATCACCTCATGATAGGTGACCGACAAAGATGCCACGACATTTATCTCCCTGTTCTCCACCTCCACGGGATGAGTTAGGGGAGTTACGTAATGAGGTCAATGCTTTGCGTGAGGAGGTCGGTACTTTACGTGAAGACAATGATGCATGGCGTGATGAGGTACGGTCTTTACGTGGTAAGGTAGAGGTTTTACGCGATGACAATGGTGCTTTATGTGATAAGGTAGTTGCTCTACATGAGATTGTTGCATCGTTGCAGAATGAGGTAAGTTTGTTTAATACTATATGCAAATAACCTTTTTTCGGCATTATTTATTTGTTTGTTTACTAATTTATGTATTAATTTATTTTTAGCGGCCCGATAAGGTAGATGCTTTACGTCGGTTTTTCTTGCACGACGGGGTTCACGCATCAGACATCGTGCATGTGTCATTACGTCTTCGTTCACCCCAATAGTGCCAAGACTCCGTAAGAAGAAGCCTAATTCACCTGTCATCATTCAAGAAGCCTCTCATATCGTTCAAGAGGCCCTTATCATCCTTCAAGAGGCCCCTCCCACCGTTCAAGAGGCCCCTGTCATCGTTCAAGAGTTCTCTCCCACCGTTCGAGAGCCCGATTCACTTGGCATAATATGTCGACATATTGATAAACCCCCTCAAGTGCCCGACATGATGGATGAGAGTTGGCTTTCGTATGAGTTATCGATCAGTACCATTCCAGTATCTGAAGTGAAGAAGAGAACACTATCGGACACAATTCTGTATAATACCCTTTGGGCGAAGACCGCAGTTGATTTTTATCTACATGAGCGGAGCCAGGGGTGTTACGCTGACATATGAAAACTCGACAATGATATGCATTTGTTTCTTGATCAGTCTTGGTGGGGTGTGTTATTAGGGGTTGAAGACAATAGCTATTTCGACGGGGGGTAAGTCTTATATTCTTCTTATATTGCATTTTGATTAATTTTTTTTAATTTATGAAATTCACTAATATATGTATTTTTTTTTATAAAACAACATATTGATGCATGT